GATCTAGATGTTCCACATGAAAACAAGGAAGTAGCCAGTAAAGCACTACAGGAATAGGAAGCCAAAATTAAAACAGTGTTTGAAACGATAAAGACCATGCAGAAAGAGGTTCAGATGATTCATGCAAAATATCAGAAATGGACAAAACACTAAAAGGGCCAAGGAGTGAAACTAAAGAGATGGAAGCAAAAATCAGTGAGCTTGAAGACAAATCTCTCAATAATGCTAAGATAAAATAACAATCAGAAAAAAAGAATTGAAAAATCTGAAGAAAGTCTAAAGATTCATGTGGGACAACATGAAGAGGAATAACTTGAGGCTGATTGGAATTCCAGAACAGGAAAGGCCAAAAACAACTGCAGAAAAAATAGTCGATGAGCTGCTGGAAGAGAACTTCCCTAACATATTGAAGGATGAGAAAATAAGCATCCAAGAAGCTGGACAAACCTCCAAAGAAAATTACCACGACAGATCATAATCAAACTTTCCAAAACCACAGACAAAGAGAGTATCCTGAAAGCAGCTAGGAAAAAAAGAAATGTTAAATACAAAGGAAAAAAATAAGATTAAGGTCTGATTACTCAGCAGAAACCATGGCAACAAGAAGACAATGGGGGAGATATATACAAAACTCTAAAAGCATAAAACTGCCAACCAAGAATCATACACTCAGCAAAGCTGTCAATCAAATATGACAGTGAAATCAAAACATTCCAGGATATAGATGTATTGATAACAACTGATGATTGGAATGCACAAAATGGAACTAAAAGAGGACTGGCAGTTGGAAAACATGGCCTTGGTAATAGAAATGATGCTAAGAGAATGCATGACAGAATTCTGCAAAACAAAAGGCTTATTCACTCAAATATGTTTTTCAACAACTTAAATGACATCTGGACTTTACCAGATGGATGTGGCAGTGGAACACACAGAAATCAACACAGAAATAGATGGTGAAGAAGATCACTAACATAGTTCAGAACAAGGCCAGGGGCAGAACATGGAACATACCATCAATTGCTCAGATGCAGGCTGAAGTTGAAGCAGAAGCTGAATAAATTGAAAACAAGTCCATGAGAGCCAAAACATGACTTTGTGTGTATTTCACTTGAATTTAGAGACCATCTCAAGAACAGATTTGATGCACTGCACTACACACCA